GCACTAAGGAGGCGGGGGGGACCATGAAAAGGAGAAAATATCTTTGGATTATCTATAAGGACTGTAAGATAATAAGCAATTTTATGATTGGTAATTTCACGCCGGTGGCTGTGTACAGTAAAAAACGTTTGAAACTATACGAATGTTGTCGAAAACGCACCAACACGTTTCCTAATTAATCAGCTCCTTTATTTTAAGAATCCCTCCGCTTAAACTCCAGGCTTAACTACAGCATCAACCGACACGAGCGCATGCAGGATCGGTATGTTTAACTAAGTAGCTACGTGATACCTAGGAGTACAAAGTACATTCTGGGAAATTGAGTGAAGTCATATCCGGTCATACACAACAAAGAAAAGTAACAACTAAACGAAATAAGGCATTGTTTACGGTTCCCGACAAATGTGAACAGTTATGATAACAATTAGAAAAACATTAATTCAACTTCCAGACTAGAACCGAGAACCTTAATTTGTTAAATACAAATTTAAGGAACACGAGAGCATAATTTCACTTTTCAAAAAGAGTACTTGAAATATGATCCAAAGTGTTATTCAAAGGCAGCACATAATCTAAGGAGAGCATTAATTAAGAATCCTTTCTTTCAGCTGTCCAATACGAATAATGGATAAAACGAAACATGTAGAAATGACACGAAATGGGAATGTCAGAATTGAATCAAATTAGTATGAAACATCAGAAAATCATATCCGAAACAAACGCGTTTCAGGAGTTTGTCTACATCAGGATCTCACTTGTCTACAGTGATATTTTTGTTCCTAGGATGTACTCACTGCTACAAGAAAAGTCCATTATTAATCGATTTCTTATATGTTCTACATGTGAGAGATGTATGCTTGTTTGTTACTCACTGCTTGACCAGGACACGTCAGTATATCCACCAAAAATATAGCTGTTCACTTTGATGATTGTCACTGTGGGTCAACTACCGTCACAGTTGCTGTGGAATGTCGAAGCTAACCAGCCGTCAGTCTTAGCGTGCCAACACCTCAAAAAGTCAGTACGGGATGCACTGGGAAGAACTGGGTTTAAATATGAAATCAGTTTTCCCAAGTATTTGTTGGGGTCCAGACTTCCAAGAATATTAAATGTACCGAGGCCACCTGTGTTCGTGAACAAAGCTCGAATGTGAACTATAATTACACATGTCATAGAATAAAGAAAGATGTTATTCTTTCTTTCACCGCCGTGGGAGTTTACCGAGAAGAATCGAGCCCCAGATCTTCTTACTCACAGCATTGGGTAGCTGTTTTTCTTAGCCTTTATTTTGATTGGCTCGTTCTAATTAACCTGGGTTTGGTTTTGCGACCCATAGTAAATGCTGTATTGATAGTATACATATCTGGATCATTAACCAAATGCTACAGTAGTAATATAGCATTGCTATAAATTTTATTGTTTCAAAACTTACTTGGCGACCTCCAGGACACGTCAGTATATCCACCAAAGATGTAGTCGTTCACTTTGATGATTGTCACTGTGGGTCCCCTCCCATCGCAGTTTCTATGGAATGTCGATGCGGCCCAGCCGTCAGTCTTAGCGTGCCAACACCTCAAAAAGTCAGTACGGGATGCACTGAGAAGAACTGGGTCTAAATATGAAATCAGCTTTCCCAAGTATTTGTTGGGGTCCTGACTTCCAAGAATATTAGATGTACCAAGGCCACCTGTGTTCGTGAACAAAGCTCGAATGTGAACGATAATTACAGATGTCATAGAATAAAGAAAGATGTTATTCTTTCTTTCACCGCCGTGGGAGTTTACCGAGAAAAATCGAGCCCCAGATCTTCTTACTCACAGCGTGAGGTGCTCACCATGTGACTATTCGATATTGTATTTAAAACGGAGAAAGGAAATTAAGCGAAAATGTAATTTAATGGCAAAACATGCAACTTCTTCCCTTATTTAGTTGATATACTGTGAGAAATAATTCTATCGCCACTGTTGCCACAATAATCTGAATAGTATTTCACCGCATGCGCTATTAGTATCGCAGAATATTGTCATGGATTTAAGCTTATGTATTCATTTTTCGTACATTAACGATAGGCTGTTAAGTGTTTTCGTGCATTAATTTACCTATTTCAAAGAAGACCTCAATGTCAGATGGAGTAAAACGGCGACCTCCTGTGAAAAATCCACATTGTTCACTCGTCGAATAGCCCGGAGGGTTGGAGTACGTCATGCCGCATTCGGTATAAGAGTATTGATTACGGTTAGCATTATTGTATATCAAAATATCACATCCAGCACCAAAAATGGGTCCGTAAGAGGAACATCTGTACACGGCGCAGTGCTGGTTTTGGTATTGTGTCAGCTTCACGGGATTGTATCCTTTGACGTTATATAGAGAGAAGATGAATGCTTTACTGTCGTAAGAACAACCTGCACAAGAACCAGCTGAAATAGAAGAACAATGTAGTCGTGCGTTCAGAAGTTCGAAGAAAACATGAACCCCATAAAAGGGGGGAGGAATCACTTTTTATCGTGGCCAAGACGAGTAGTTTTTTCTCAAGCTAGAGGTTTACGAAAGGGAAGAAGAGATTCTACGAGTTTGGGTGTAGAAACGGGCACGTGTAAGAATTATAGAAGATTTAATTGAGGGGTTACTCTAAAGAAAAGTGGGTATAACTTTTTGAAACTTTTGAGTCTCAGTATTGTTGCCGATTGCTTTATGTTTTAAGATGTTATGTTGTTTTGCAGGTGTATCAAGTGGCAAACATTTCAGTTGATGATATATGTGTGAAAAAACCAAAACTCGAGAATAAAATGATAAAGGCTTGAAGCTCATAGCAGAGGAGCATCGTTCAAAAATTCATCGAGCACCGCCTCCACTCTCTCAAACTCCCAAGGGAACCAGGATTGATCTGATGGGATGATCTCATCCTTCTTAAAAAGTTTGCTATACCTACCTCCGCCCCAAGACACGTCAGAATATCCACCAAAGATGTAGTCGTTCACTTTGATGATTGTCACTGTGGGTCCCCTCCCATCGCAGTTGCTGTGGAATGTCGATGCCGCCCAGCCGTCTGTCTTAGCGTGCCAACACCTCGCAAAGTCGGTACGGGATATACTTGGAAGAACTGGGTCTAAAAACGAAATCAGCTTTCCCAAGTACATGTTGGGATCCAGGCTTCCAAGAATATTAGATGTACCAAGACCACCTGTGNAGGTATCGGTATTGTGTAAGCTTCACAGGATTGTATCCTTTGGCGTTGTAAAATGAGAATAAAAAGGCCTTGGTGGCGTATGACCAACCACAGGAACCTAAAATGATTAATCGCCTCCTGGTGAATTTTGTTTTAAAATTTTTATTTTCGTACCCAGGCCCAAACTTTTAAATCAAAATCATTTTCAAAGTGGTGAAGTGTAGAATTACCCAAAGTTATCTGTTACTTTCTTCAGATGCACGCACAGATTTAAGTCATTGAGCTATTTCTCGATATAGAATTGTAGAAATGTATCCGAGAACTGACAGAAAACTCAGTCATGTAAATCAGGCTTAGAAAATATTATATCGGATAAAAAACATGAATTCCAAGACCGCGCGGTTGAGTGGTTACTCTGAAGAAAAGCGAGTTAAAATTTGAGACTTGAAGCAAAAGAACCCTTTGATCCTACTGTTGTCATTACTACACGTTTTTAGATGCACGTGTATCGACTAGCAATCATATCCATGGACGATATCTGTGTGAAGACATCCTGATGGCAAAAACACGATAAGGAAATGGTAAAGGCTTGGAGCCCATAAAAAAGGAGAATCGTTCAAAATTCCATCGAGCACCCTCCCCTTTCCCTGCTTCCCTCCCCTCAAATCCGGAGGGTAAGAATGATTAATCCGATAAAATCGTTTTGTCTCTTCTTAACAAATTTACTATACCTACCTCCGCCCCAGGACACGTCAGTATATCCACCAAAGATATAATTGTTCACTTTGATGATTGTCACTGTGGGTCCCCTCCCATCGCAGTTGCTGTGGAATGTCGATGCCGCCCAGCCGTCTGTCTTAGCGTGCCAACACCTCGCAAAGTCGGTACGGGATATACTTGGAAGAACTGGGTCTAAAAACGAAATCAGCTTTCCCAAGTACATGTTGGGATCCAGGCTTCCAAGAATATTAGATGTACCAAGACCACCTGTGTTCGTGAACAAAACTCGAATGTGAACTACAATTACAAACATCATAGAATCAAGAAAGATGCCATTCCTTTTTTCACGACCGTCGGAGTTTTCTAAGATTAATCGAGCCCCAGATCTTCTTATTCACAGTGTAAGGTGCTCACGATTTGATCACATTTAAACTCAATATTTCTCCGTGAGTTTATTCTGTAAATATAGCAAGAAAACTCCACGAAAACACAGATTCCTACATTTATGTAAAATGGAGAAACGAAAAGAGAAAAAGTACCGAATTTAGCCGGATTCGACCCGATTCATTTGCTCAAATTTAATGGCAAAACATGCGTGTAGATCAATTTCTTCCCAGATTTGGTTGATACGTTTTGATACCCCGGAACTGCGATACAATTTGTTTGCTGCTGTTGCCACAATGACCTGAGTAGTATTTTGCTGCTGTATTTGGCTCAGCGCATGTGCTCTTAGAATCGCTGAACGTTGCCATGGATTAGAATGTATGTATTTAGTCATCGTATATTTACGACAGGGGTTTAAGTGTCTCTGTACAATAATTCACCTATTTCGAAGAAAACCTCTATGTCAGATGGAGTAAAATGATATGCTCCTGTAAAAAATGCGCAGTTTCCAGTCGAGTAGCCAGAGGGGTTGGAGTACGTCCCGCCACATTTGGTATAAGATTGTTGGTTTTTCCCTGCATCATTTGATACGTAAATGTCATGTCCCCAACCAAAACGGGGTCCGTGGGAGGAACATCTGTATATAGCGTGTTGCTGGTATCGGTATTGTGTCAGTTTTACAGGATTGTATTCTTTGGCGTTGTTAAATGAGAATAAAAAGGCTTTGGTGGCGTAAGACCAACCACAGGTACCTAAAATGATGATTAAAATGAAATAAAGTGAAAGGAAATAACAAACTAAACGAGTTGCTTGCAAGCGCGGTGTTTTTTGTGCAGTGCATGAGTGCGGTTGTCAATATTTTTCTAATATTAATGAAGTTCAGTCGGAGCCTTCGCGGTGTTTAGTAATAACCCTCATTGTATATTTTAAGCTGCATAACCACATTGCACCTGTTTCATCCATTTGGTCCTTGAAGGAATAAAACTCAATCTAAGGGCCTAGAAATTACTGTAGACAAGTTAAAACACATGCTATGTGCCTTTAGAGCTGACTGGAAAACTTTAAAAGCATTTCGACTACAAATACCATAGCCTTACAAACAAAACAAATTAGGGACTCCTGTTGCACAACGCTGCTCAATGATTGGTCGAGAAAGCTCTTGGTATCGCTTTTAACCAGTGAGAGAAAAATCTTAAACCAATCGTGACTTGGTATATCGCGTTTTTCTCGCGCCTTGGGCATCTTTTTTTCTTGTCCTTTGTTTTGACGGTCCCACCAATTAACTTGGTTTTGGTTCTGCGACATTCAAGATGCAGTTAAGATAAAGAACATATTTAGATCCTAAATTTAACAAATGCTACAGTCAACAAAAAAAAGATATATATCTGTTCATTATGAAACTTGCACACTCAGTGCCTGGTTACCAAGACACCTCACTGTCCTGGTGGAAGAATTTCAAGGAACGTGCTTCAGAGACATTTTTTTCTGTTATAGAAACCAAGCTTGATCCATTTACTACAACGTTATTTCCTTACCTTTCTAAATCTTTAAAACGCTGCACCGAAAAAAACGTAATGGCTAAGATGTACTTACTGCTCCATGATACGTCACTGTAGCCACCAAAGATGGAGTTATTAGCTTTGATGATTGTCACTGTGGGTCCCCTCCCATCGCAGTTGGTGTGGAATGTTGATGCCGCCCAGCCATCTGTCTTAGCGTGCCAACACCTCACAAACCTGCTCCGCNGGAGAATGTCAGATGGAGTAAAATGATATGCTCCTGTAAAAAATGCGCAGTTTCCAGTCGAGTAGCCAGAGGGGTTGGAGTACGTCCCGCCACATTTGGTATAAGATTGTTGGTTTTTCCCTGCATCATTTGATACGTAAATGTCATGTCCCCAACCAAAACGGGGTCCGTGGGAGGAACATCTGTATATAGCGTGTTGCTGGTATCGGTATTGTGTCAGTTTTACAGGATTGTATTCTTTGGCGTTGTTAAATGAGAATAAAAAGGCTTTGGTGGCGTAAGACCAACCACAGGTACCTAAAATGATGATTAAAATGAAATAAAGTGAAAGGAAATAACAAACTAAACGAGTTGCTTGCAAGCGCGGTGTTTTTTGTGCAGTGCATGAGTGCGGTTGTCAATATTTTTCTAATATTAATGAAGTTCAGTCGGAGCCTTCGCGGTGTTTAGTAATAACCCTCATTGTATATTTTAAGCTGCATAACCACATTGCACCTGTTTCATCCATATTGGTCCTTGAAGGAATAAAACTCAATCTAAGGGCCTAGAAATTACTGTAGACAAGTTAAAACACATGCTATGTGCCTTTAGAGCTGACTGGAAAACTTTAAAAGCATTTCGACTACAAATACCATAGCCTTACAAACAAAACAAATTAGGGACTCCTGTTGCACAACGCTGCTCAATGATTGGTCGAGAAAGCTCTTGGTATCGCTTTTAACCAGTGAGAGAAAAATCTTAAACCAATCGTGACTTGGTATATCGCGTTTTTCTCGCGCCTTGGGCATCTTTTTTTCTTGTCCTTTGTTTTGACGGTCCCACCAATTAACTTGGTTTTGGTTCTGCGACATTCAAGATGCAGTTAAGATAAAGAACATATTTAGATCCTAAATTTAACAAATGCTACAGTCAACAAAAAAAAGATATTTATCTGTTCATTATGAAACTTGCACACTCAGTGCCTGGTTACCAAGACACCTCACTGTCCTGGAGGAAGAATTTCAAGGAACGTGCTTCAGAGACATTTTTTTCTGTTATAGAAACCAAGCTTGATCCATTTACTACAACGTTATTTCCTTACCTTTCTAAATCTTTAAAACGCTGCACCGAAAAAAACGTAATGGCTAAGATGTACTTACTGCTCCATGATACGTCACTGTAGCCACCAAAGATGGAGTTATTAGCTTTGATGATTGTCACTGTGGGTCCCCTCCCATCGCAGTTGGTGTGGAATGTTGATGCCGCCCAGCCATCTGTCTTAGCGTGCCAACACCTCACAAACCTGCTCCGCTTTGAGCTAAGGAGGACTGGCTCTAGATAAGAAAGCAGCTTTTCTGTGTAGTTTTTGTAGTCGAGGCTGGTAAGAATAACGGAACTATTCAGGCCACCTATACAAATGAACAAAAAAGAGAGAAAAGGTCAGCTTTTCCCTCCCTGAAATTTTTTGCGTCATGTTGCATCCGCCATCTTGGCGCTCGAAAAGCCTGGTTTCACTAGCGACGCAAACACAAACGCAAGTATAACACCTCTTATCACACAAGTATAACACCACTTATCACACCGTGAAAACGGCCTCGAAGCAAGCATAAATACAAGCGAGAGCGCAAGCTCAACCGGGATAAAAAAAATTTTCATTTTCTTGTGCTTATGTTGTGCTTACGAACGCTTATCCTAAGGGAAAAGGAAATGCCGCAGAAGCACAAGGAAATGTACTACAATTTGCTATGTCTGGATAATTATAGCACTCGCGCAACTTTTGCCCACGTCTGAGCCTTTGAACAAAATGGCGGATGTCGTCGCTGTAGTCTTTGATAAAAATGTCTGAGCCTTTGAACAAGTTGGCGGAGGTCGTCGCTGTAGTCTATGATAAAAAGTGTTTCATGGTTGATCGCAACTATCGAGTCTTATATGACAAGGAGTGTAAAGACTTCAAAGATAAAAACAAATAAGCACAAGCTTGGACTCAAGTTGGCAAGGAAAAATCACCCTGGCTTCCCTTTTCTTTAAAAAGATCCCTAAACCTAAAGCGTTTCATTCTCCTCTTCTTCTGTAACCGATTTCGCTTTCTTCGCCACCATATTGGCCGAGTCGAGATCAACGGAGCCTTGCAACTAGTGAACTAATTGTCAAGTGTGATGTGAGTCTTGCTTGGCCACTTTAATTGACACCTTGAAATTCATAGCAGATTTGTTATTTTGATCGACTACGAGCAACACCTCCTCTAAAGAGAAGACCATATTCCAAAACCCTTTGCTGAGTGACGAGCTGAAATATTTTCACGAAGTTCAAGAACGAGTAAAGGCACTGCAAGCAGAATTTCAGGAAGTCTCAAATAAGCTGACAACAACCCAGAGGGCATACCTACCTCTCCAAAAACTCACCTCAAGAGTTAGAGCTAGCTGCAGAGATGTTTGACATAATCAAAAATGAAAATAGTTTTACAAGCATCGCAACCATCAATGCGGAAAATTGTTTAAGGGTCTTCATCTCTGCCCTCTCCTTTGGTTGCGAGGAAAAAGCCTTTTTAATACAAGCATTGCTCGGAACATTCATGCAATGGTAATCATTTTAAACGAAAAAAACCTAAATAGCCAAGCTCGGACGAGTACATTGCCGATGAATTGGACGAGGAGACTATCCGAGAGTTAGCAGAGGGGAAAATCCGAGAGTCAGAGGAAGATGATGTTCAAAAGTCTGTAGATGGAGGCGTCCAAAAGGCTGCCAAAAAAGAAACATTAGGGGAAGAGGCAGTCCCATTAAACTGAACACTTGTTCTTGTGAACACATAAGAAAATTTGATTATTTTATCATGTTATATCGTGTCTGAACAAGAAACAAAGCTAAAAAAATCGATCCTTCTGCTTTGCTAATTTTTTTTCTCTATTTTTTCATGGTCCTCACCTCTCCTCTTAGTGCCTGTCCATTAGGGCTGATTCCTCCTTTTAATCTGTGGAAAATCATGCGATTCCACCAAAATCCTCCGCCCCTCCTCCCCACTCCCCCCAGGTGAGAAATAATGACCGAAGTAGAGTTAAGGAGACTGCTTGGTTCGCTCGTGTCTAAATGTTAGTTTTAAAACTCACGAAAATAGCAGCTTGTTCCGTTTCCTTGGTACCAGGGATTGCACGTGCATCTATAAGAACCAATGGTATTGTTGCAGTAGGCGTTGGCGTCACAGTCATGTGATTCCTTGGTACATTCGTCGACATCTGAAAGAACGGATAAGAATGTTATGGCCAGAATTCACAGTCGATCGAAAATGACTGTTGTTGGCGAGAGCGTCTCGCTGTACACTTAATTGAAGATGAAATGGTGTGGGGGACTATTCTAATTTCATTTAATAATTTAATAAGAAGTTCTTATATAGCGCATTAAAATTGAACTCTATGCGCTTTACAATTGCAATTAACAAAAGGTATTTACGAACGCGACCAATATTTCTGATTGCTAAAGACGACGATTTACAGATGGAATTTATCTGCGAGCGTAAGTTCATCACAGAGTCAAGCATGACGCCCAGGTCTCGGACAGTATTAGATAATTTAATGATGTCATCTCCAATATTGATATTACAGAAAGGAGGATTTTTTGAGAAGCGTGAAGGGAAATGAATGATTTCTGTTTTTGAAAGGTTGCACTGCAATCTGTTTTTCTTGGCCCACTCCATGATTGCATTAACACATGAGTTCAATCTTTCCATGCCCATTATTCTGTCAGAGGAGTTTATCTTTACGTAAAGTTGGGAATCATCAGTATATATCATACAGTTTAGGCCATGTTCAGTAACAATGTCTTCTGTAGGCGACGTATACATCAGAAAGATGGTGGACCAAGTACTGATCCCTGGGGTACGTCGTAGGAGATATGTCGAGGCCATTCAAGCAATTTTAGATCGAGTCTCCAGGATGAGCCGGGATTGATGCTTTGTTTTGAAATGAATTTCTTCAGGCAATGGTGAGAGTCATTGTTTAAACTTACCGATACATTTTTTTCCGTTTCCAGTAAAACCCGCTTTGCACGAACAACTGTGAGAACCGATGGTGTTCACGCACTCGGCGTTGACGTCACACAAGGGAATTGTTGAATTACATTCATCCACGTCTGAAAAACGAGAAAGATTGTGGTAAGTTTAAAAGAAAAAGAGGGTATCCACCAAATCATGAGTCTTTCATGGATTTGTCACAGCAATTGTTTGCTTCATGACTTCCAGCGGAAGCGAAAAGCTTAATATTCAGTGTACGATCTCTTCAGGGAGACAGATTTTGCCCTTCCCCTTCCCCATTCCCCTTCATGCACTTGGCGTTGACGTCACAGACGGGAATTGTTGAATTACATTCGTCCACGTCTGAAAAACGAGATAGTTTAAAAGAAAAAGAGTATATCCGCTAAATTAGGAGTTTTTCATGGATTTGCCACAGCAATTGATCGAAAATGACTGTGATTGGCTCAAGCGTCTCGCTGTAAACTAAATTGAAGATAACATGGTGTGGGGAGTAAATCTAGTAAATCTAACTTTGTTATTTTCCATCCTTACCAACGCAAATTGGACTATATAGTTCACTTGAAAATTTATAATAACGATCTTAAAAAAAGTGTATCTCTAGAACAAAAAACTTTTGTGAAATATCTAGGAATTCTGATAGATAATAACCTCTCTTGGAAGTATCATATTGATTATATCTCATCTAAAGTTAGTAAAGGAATTGGTATAATTGCCAGGTTAAGACATCTTGTCCCATTTGCCACACTTCTTAACATCTACCGCTCCTTAATTGAACCCTATATCTCTTATGGTCTTATTGCCTGGGGACAAGCTGCTAACACTCATTTAAATAAGGTTCTCATTTTACAAAAACGTGCTCTACGACTAATGTATTTTGCGGATAGCAAAACTCATAGTGCCCCGCTATTTGTTAACTCCAGAATCTTACCAATAACTATGCTCTATTCTCATTTGGTTTCCTCTTTGATGCATGACATTGATAATCACCGTGCCCCGTCTAATATTTCTATGCTCTTTCTCCACTCCGAGCAGGTTCATCACCATTTCACAAGATTCTCAGCAACGGCTAATCTATACGTTAAAGCGTCTAGAACCAACCAACTTTTATTTTCTTTTGCTAGAATAGGTGTAAGATTGTGGAATAGCATCCCAAAAGAACTTCGTATTAAAAACAGAACCCCGTTTAAGCGTGAACTTAAAAATCGCCTGTTAAAACTTTTGGAAAATGAGGAGATGAATGTTGATATACGCTGCTCAGAAATTTGTAAATATCTCTTGATAAAGTAACTCTTCGTTTAAGTCTTGTTTCAATTGTATTATATATCTTGATAACTTTGCAATTGATTATTTAATTATTCAACGGACTTAATTTTATTTTATTTTATTTAACAATTGTATTTTTATTTAATGATTATCTTTGTTTAATTGTATCGGTATGTGATCATTAGCAGAGACAGCACTTGTTTTAGAAGGGTGGCCCGCCTAGAATAGCTTGCTAATTGCGGGTCACCTAGGACTGTGATAATATTGTATTGCTAACAAATAAATAAATTGAATTGAATTGAATTGAATTGGGGTCTATTCTAATCGGCCATTAAGGCAATTTTAGATCGAATCTTGAGAGTAAGCCGGGATTGCTATATGGTTTTGCTTTGTACCGATTATACGAAACTATTCATAATTTCAGTCACCTTCGGTTTTCATGTCACAAGGAGCCAGAACAATCTTCGCGGGTACAATCGAAGAAAACCAATATTTGCCGCTGACCGCTTGTCCTCCTTCGCTCAATTTGATTTCTTGGCAAGTCTCCGCAGGCAGCTCAGGAATAGAA